TTAGCCTATGCTTGTGCCCACAACATCAAGCTCTATCAAATGGATGTCAAGAATGCATTTATCAATGGCTACATCAATGAAGAAGTTTATGTTGAGCAACCTCCCGGTTTTGAAGATGACAAGAAGCCCGACCATGTGTACAAGTTGAAGAAGGTTTTGTATGGATTGAAGTAAGCACCTAGAGCATGGTATGAGAGGTTGAGGGATTTCCTACTCTCAAAGGGATTCATGATGGGCAAGGTTGACACCACTCTTTTCACCAAAAAGATTGGCAAAGACTTGTTTGTGTTGCAAATCTATATTGATGACATCATATTTGGATCAACCAATCAAGACTTTTGTGAATAGTTTCGGGAAGATGATTACTAATGAGTTTGAGATGTCCATGATTGAAGAGTTGAGTTACTTCCTTGGTCTTCAAATCAAGCAATTGAAGAATGTTACATTTATGTGTAAAGGCAAGTACATTAAAGACATGCTCAAGAAGTTTGGCATGAATGAAGCAAAGGTCATAAGTACACCAATGGGAACAAATGGTAATTTAGATAGTGATGCAAGTGGCAACATGGTGGATCAAAAGTTGTATCGGTCTATGATTGAAAGTCTACTCTATGTGACCACATCAAGGTCAGATGTCATGTTTAGTGTATGCATGTGTGCAAGATTTCAAGCCTCACCAAGAGAAAGTCACTTGAAGGCTACAAAGAGAATATTGAGGTACTTGAAGCATACACAAAATGTTGGTTTGTGGTATCCCAAAGGAGCAAAGTTTGAGTTAGTTGGTTACTCCAACTCAGATTATATGGGATACAAGATTGAAAGGAATAACACCTCGAGCACATGTCAACTATTAGGAAGATCACTTGTTTCATGGTCATCAAAGAAGCAAAATAGTGTTGCATTATCAACTGCCAAAGCCGAATACATATCCGCCGGTAGTTGTTGTGCACAAATACTTTGGATGAAAGCCACCTTGAATGACTTTGGAATCAAGTTTAAGAAAGTGCCATTACTTTGTGACAATGAGTACAATCAAGCTCACCAACAATCCGGTTCAACATGCAAGAACAAAGCACATTGATGTCCGCCATCATTTCATTAGAGATCACCAACAAAAATGGGATATTTGCATTGAGAGTGTGGGCACCAAAGATCAACTTGCCAATATATTCATCAAGCCATTGGATGAGAAAATGTTTTGCAAGCTAAGAAATGAGTTGAACATATTGGATTTCTCAAATATATGTTGATGCACCCCCCACTTATATAACATGCCTCTCCTTCGAGCAACCAAGGTAAAAGTTGATTGGCATGTCATACATCCTTACTAAGGACATGTTTAGTGCATCTAGTCATTCCTCATGTCTTTTAGGGTCTTTCATAAAAATCAAATGAATTTGATGCTTGTATGGTACCACTATTGCTTCTATGCTTAACTTGATCTAGTGGTAGCATATGACATGTTTGTGGGCTTGTGAATCTAGTGTTTGATCTAGAAAATGAGCTACAAGTGTTTAACTCAAAATGGTACAAGATAACCCTTATTTGAAGGTGTGAAGAAGCTTGTCCTTGGATCAAACCAAGTTAAATATTTTTGGCAAGTGTTCTAGATTGGATCAATTTTGGAAAAATAATCATCACCCCATTGGTTGATATTGATAATCTTAACCTATCTAAAATTGAACATTTGTGATCATTGATGACAAAGGGGGAGAAATTGGCATAAAGATAAGGTTAAATGACAAAGGGAGAGAACTTTGACATAGGAGGAGAAATATGACAAAGTAAGGGGATAAATTAAAATTTTGAGCACACAAGTAGGGGGAGCAAGCTCATAAACTTGATTTATGTTTGCTTGCACAGCACAAGTTTTAAAATTAATATTCCATATTTGTGTAGTGTATGTTAGTTGTAGGTTTAAATGATGAAATAAAAAAATAGTATGCATAGGTTGAGTAACTAGACTTGTGTTTATATTGTGAAAACTAGACCCTTGCTTCTAATGTTGATCTCATGGGGTATTCTACTTTTTGTGTATGTCTAGTTACTAATGGTGGTAAGGATGGTATATTTGGTGCACTCCGATTTGTATCACGCTTCAAAGGTCCATCTCTTATACCTTAGCATCATTTGATAGACATTACTCTCCCACAACTCAAATCCATGCATATGTGCAAGCTTCAATCCAACTCTTAGCACATATGTAGGGAAGCTAATGCTACCAATTGGGGTTCATGAAACTTGTCCATATCCTTTTACACATAGTAAATATGCTTGGGCAAGCAACATGGATTCAATTGAATTTCAATTCATATCTTTGGAAAATGGTTGTCATCAATTACCAAAAAGAAGGAGATTGAAAGCTCTAGTTTGGTTTTGGTGAATTGATGAAATTCTAAGTGCTAACCTAGTTTATCAAAGTGATCATGAGATAGGTTATAGGTAGCACATTCCAAGTGGTGAAGCAAATGGTGAAGATCATAATGATGGTGTGGACATGATGATCAAGTGCTTAAACTTGGAAAAGAAGAAAGAGAAAAATAAAAAACTCAAGGCAAAGGTAAAACTTAATATAAGCTTTTTGGTTTGTTGATCGGGACACTTAGCGAGTGTGATCATATTTGGGATAGATAGTTGTACTATTAAGAGGGAAGCTTTTATCGGACAACTCGATCATCTAGTGCCACTAGGTATTGAAAAACTTGCATATGCATTTTAGGCCTAGTGCACATTTGGTGAGAAAGTGATTAACCTTTGAAAAATGATTGTGAAAATGCTAACACACTGCATGTGATGGTGAAACACTTGGAGTGTTAGCACATTTGCAAAGGTGGGGAAAAAGGTGAAGAAAAGGAGGCATTGCCAGGCTCGGGGTGCTGCCACGGGGGCATCGCCATGCCCTGTCCGGTGCACCGCCACCCTTGTGGCGATGACCGGCAGAGAAGGCCAAGAGTGGGGTGCACTGGTGGGGCACTGCCACCCTTGTCCGGTGGCACCACCACCTCTAGGGCGGTGCCCACCTGGACCCGGCAGAGAAGAGGAAGAGTGAGGCGGCCACCGGAGCGACCGGTGTGCACCGCCGTGCGTAGGGCGGTGCACCATCCCTGGCACCGCCATGGGTGTCCAGTGGCACCACCATAAAAATCCAGAGAGCGGGCGAAAATAGGGAGGTCACCATCGCGGGCACCGCCGCCCTGAGGGCGGTGCACCGTCTCTTTTCTCTAGACTTAGTCTCTCGGGCAGATTGACCGGGTGGTGACCGCCACCCTGTCTGGTGCCCCAACGGCTAGTTTTTAGCCATTGAAAAGTGACCGTTGGGAGGGGACCTCCATGTCCGGTGCCAGGCACCGCCGTGTCCGATGCCCTCGCATAAAGCTGCTCCAAAGGGGTAACGACTCTATTTGCTCGTGGGCTTATAAATAGAGCTAGTGGCCAGCCTTGTCCACTCTCTTGGCATTTCTAACAGCTGTATACACCCTTTGAGAGCTGAGCACACCACTCCACTCACTTGCACACTTGATTTCATCATCTTGAGTGAGATTGGAAAGCATCTAGTGCATTGATTAGTGTTCTAGCATCTTGTGGCACTAGTTGGGCGATTTGAGCTTGTGGAGTTCTTGTTACTCTCGGTGTTTCTCGACACCTAGACGGCTCGGTGATTGGTGGATCGTTGAATGGCTATTGGTAATTGTTGCCGGCTCCGATCATTGACATTGTGAGGGGTTCTTGTGCCTTCCCCGTGGGAGATCACGAAAGGCAACTCTAGTGGATTGTGCGTGGCTTGTGAATCCTCATCTTGTGTTGGTTGTGTGGCACCCTATTGAGGGTTTAGCGTGTGATGTCAATTAGTGCGTGAACCTCCAAGTGAGTGAATCGCCACAACAGGGACTAGCTTGCCGACAAGCAAGTGAACCTCGAAGGAAAAAATCATTGTGTCATGATTGTCTCCTTGGTATTCATTGATTGATCACTTGCCACGGCGGTATACCTCTCTACCACTCTCTTGTATTACATTGTGCCTTTACTTGTGTAAAACTTATGGTAGTTGAAACTAGTTAGTGTAGCTCTTAGTTGTAATTCTCTTGCTAGCTTGCTCACCTGGGTGTAAATTAGTGACTTAGCCTTGTTGTGACATACTAGAGATCATAAATTTTAGAATTGGGTAGGTGGCTTGCAACACAAGTGTAGTGCTAGCGCAAAATTTGCTTCGACATCTTATTTATTAATCACTTGCCTTAGTGTTGTTGTAGAATTTTTAATAGGTTATTCACCCCCCTATAGCCTTTAGAACCTTTCACTCTTCCCCGGAGGCCAACCAGATTTGATGATATCCAGCAGTGAGGTCTAAACAAGAAAACCAAGAGGCACCATGCAATTCATCAAGGAGCTCTTCTATGACAGGGACCGGATACTTGGTTTTTGCTGTGATAGCGTTGAGATGTCGGAAATCCACACAAAAGCGAAACAAGCCGTCTTTCTTTTTCACCAACAAGACTGATGAGGAGAAAGGACTGCTGCTGTGTTGAATGACTCCTAAATCCAGCATATCCCCAATCTGCCTCTCAATTTCATCCTTGATCGCCGGAGGATAACGATACGGCCGAACATGCACTGAAGCTGCTCCTGGAACCAAAGGAATGGTATGCTCACACTCACGTGGCGGTGGATAGCCGGCTGGAGGAGCAAAGACTGACTGAAACTCATCAATGAGAGCAGTAATTTCCGGTGGATAAGCTGAAGCAGTAGGAACTGAAACCTCAGGCACAACTGCATGTACTTGGATAACCGAGCCAAGAGGCAAAGATTCAAACTCCCCATGCAGCAGTTGGTAAGACCCATTATATGGAATCAACAGCCATTTTTGTTCCCAGTCAACTTGCATTGGGCAGAAGCGAGCTAGCCAATCCATCCCGACAATGATATCGAAGTGTGCCAATGATAACACCTTAGCATCGGACTGAAAAGTACACCCCTGAACTGTCCAGCTGAGCTGCAGAATCTCAGTCATACTGAATAAGTTGTCCATCTGCTATCTTCACCTTTAGGGGTTGAGTCAATGGCGACTGTCCAGAAAGCTTGGCCGTAAAAGAGTGACTGACAAAGGTATGGGAGCTACCTGAGTCGACCAAAATCTTAGCTGAATGACCCTGTACCTGGCCCTGAAACTGAATAGCGCTGACAGAAGATTTCCCACTGAGAGCTGCAACTGAAACTGCCAGAAAGACTTGAGCATCTTGGACTGAATCAGTAGGAGGTTCAGAAGCTTCAGACTCATCTGAGTGACAAATATCCCAGAATTCTTGTAAGACATGCAGCTGCACTGTCTCTGAGCATTTGTGGTCGCGTGACCACTTCTCGCCACACCGAATGCACAAGCCACGTGCACGTCGGTAGTCCCTCAGCGTCTTGAGTTTATCCTCGACGCCACGACCGCGGCGGTCCTCCATTGGCGCCGCTTCCTGGGGCCCGCGCTCGATGCGAAGCGGTGGCGGAGGGAGAGGCAAGGGCCCCTTGAGAGGAGGCTTGGTCGCCAGTACAACTCCGGGCGGCGCGCATCCTTGTGGCCCGCCGGATCCTGCAGCTCCTCCTGCAACAAAGCTAACACGCAGGCAGTATCGAATGTTTGTGGACGCTGCATATGCACTGGATTACGGATGTCACTCCTAAGCCCATCAACAAACCGCATAGCAAAGAACACTGGGTCAGTGGAGCGACCATAAGCAACCAACTGATCAATCAAGCTAGCGAAATGATTAATGTAATCCTGAACAGTCGAGGACTAACGGATGTTGAACATTTGCCTAACCAGAGCTTCATACTGAGCCTTCCCAAACCTATCTAGGACCAACTGACAAAAATCCTTCCAAGGCAACCTCTTAACCCGTGGATCCAGGGACTGTAACCAACGGGCTGCGGCAGATGAATTGACAAAATTCATTGTCGCGCACTTGATCCACACTTCAGGTTCTACTGAATACAAATCAAAGTAGTCCTCACACCAGGTGATCCACAACTTAGGATTTTCACCATCAAATTTTGGAAAATTCATTTTGGGGATTTTGTTGCCTGCGTGGTTAGTATCCTAGGGCGGACGTGGATCATGGTGACCGCGTCCCCCATGCCAGTCGCCGCAAACACCACTGGTGCCCCCCAAACCCGTCGTCACCAGAGCCGAACTAGAAAGCGAACGATGCATTTGGGCAGGAGAATGGGGGTGGGGATGCAACTGCGTACACTTGACCGGGGAATCGAGTTCCAAACTCTTTCCTCGGTGGCTTGATTCGACGTCGTGCCCTAACGGGCGGATGACGGAGCTGTCGGCCGTTGCTGGTGCAGGGAACACGAGCGGTGGCGGCAGAACTCCAGTTGGGGCCGCGGTAGTGGACTCGAGTGCGGCGCGGCTGACGGTCTTGCGAAGGGCAGTCATCTCTGAGCGGATCCGCTCCACCGTCTTGTCGGTCTTACGGAACGCGCGCATCTCCTCCAGCGACGCGTCCACCTTGGGCTTCCAAGTGTCGAGCACCTGGACGGCACCCTCCAACTTGTCGAAGCGACCCGCGATGGAGCGATGGTGTGCTCGACGGAGTCGATCCGGGAGGATAGCCTGGAGTCGATGTTGACGATCGAAGTCTGCACGACCTTGATCTCATCTAGGAGCAACTTGAAGTTGGGATCCATGGCGCCTAGCTCTTTGCGGAATCTGGTGAAGTGGTCGTGGGAGATTTCGTGGGGTTCCAGTGTGGCGATGCTCACTGCGCCACCGCCGATCACACCAACCTCGGCTCTGACCTACAGGATCTCGACGGCCGTCACCGGAGTGAAGCCGGAAATCAACCTGCCGACGGGGATCACGGTGCCGGATCAAGACGGTGGTGAGGAGGATAGAGGAAACCCGCGGAATCGGTGGCTCTAAATACCAATTTGTTAACAGCAGGGGAAGGGAATCGGAAGAACAGAGCTAGGCGGAGGAGAAGCAAGCAGGGGCGAGGAATAGACAACGAATCTTAGTTCATAGGAGAGTTGTTACAGCAATGTTTTCATACCCCTTCCGCAAGAAGGTACCCGATACATATAGGAAACTCACACACGCCTCTGCCTACTGCATACACTTCACTTGTTCTGCCAGGCCGGACCGTAGTAGCGTGGGTTTGGCACCCTGGGCCTTGGCTCCTGTAGCCCATCAGGCAACAATGCTGTTGTCGGTCCAGGAGCAGCCGGAGCGTCAGCGGAGGCTGATGCAGATCCATCATCTTCAGTTGTCGGTTCAGAAGCGCTGGAAACTCTGATGAGTCTCTGACCAGTGCCTCTCCCAGTCGGTCCCTTCAAGATAACAGTAACAGCAACAATCGTACGGGCGAGAGACTCTAATGCGTATTCCACAACAGATAGTTAAAAACAACACCAAAACAAAATACACGATATTTGTATACTCCAGTTCAAATTATAAGATGTTTTGACTTTCTTAAATACATAGCATTTGCTATGCACTTAGATATACACTATATAATATATCTAGAAAAGCCAAAACATCTTATAATTTGAAACCGTGAGTTATTTTTCTAACTGCAGTCTGCAGTTCGCCAATCCACAACTTCCTAGATCAAATAGCAAGAGCAAATAAAAGTAGTCTTGTGAAGTGCGAGCAATTCTTCAAAGGTTGACGTCTAATGAACATTTGATTTCCAGCAGTTACATAATTTACACACGCACACACACTGAGCGCTGCTTTCATCCATCACAGGCTCCCTCGCTCCCACCTGACCACCTACGTGTAACGGTTTCACTGCCCATATACACAAAAGAGTATCAACAGCGGCATCACTCTTAAGAACGACGAGTGATTCTTCCACTGAAATAAATGGAAACCGGTGCCTTCTCTTCAACCAAAAGCAACAACTTCAGCACTCATATATACATGAACAAAGCAACTATAGTTCCCTTAGCTCATCGTGCATCCCGTTTTGCGGTTGGAGGTCTATCAGCAATCACGTTAAGAGAAACAAAGCAAAGAATGGCCCTATGGCTTTCCCGGTGGCTCTTGATGTTTTGCGCTGCTCCGGGACAGCAGTCGCTCCCTTATCTCTTTGAAGGACTGGAGCTCCTCAAGCGCGTCAGATGTCCTGCGGGATGTGACCGAGCTTGCTGAGGCTACTTCGCTGGCCTCAGCCCTTGAAGTTTGTGATGAATTGCTAGGATTTCGCAGAGGGCGGGCGTTTCTCAGCAGGTTGACTAGAGAACCGACTTGTGCGTCTTGAGATTTATGGGATGATGAACCAACCTGATCACCTGTTTCCTTCCCATCAGCGCTCCTGTATAATCCACACAGATAAAATTAGATTCCTAATAAATTCAAGAGTGGAAATAATATCGATATGAGGTGGTCCGTGAACAAAGCAATTTTGTCAAAAGATTGTGTATTGCTGTTGTAGGGAGCTGTCAAAAGGCCAAAAGGGACTGCCTGATGCTATAAAATCCACTCAGTAACATCTTGCTAAGAATAAATATAAACCACAGGCTATTGAGCAACGAGTGTTGACTGCACACCAAATAGTACTCACTTGCAAAATTTGCCACTACATTGTCACAGATCAAGATCACTAGCAATAACATAAGTGAATTTTCTTTTTAAAAATATATAACTCAATTAATCGTTAAAGTGAACTTAATAGCAACATACATGGAATGTGGCATATGGATGAAGTTAAATGTTTTCTCACAGTTAGCCAAAAAAGATAAAAATACAAAACGATAAGGCCACTTCACTAGAACACAATGAACAACTTGCTCCCAGATGAAATTCACCAAACACAATGCCTTCCACTCTAGTATAGAATAACAAACTTGTAAAATGAAGACGGTTATAGCTTTTTCATCTTTGCCTATAATGTATAACTGCTTACATTTGTATTTCAGAGTTACTGCTGCATGCAGGCCCTAAGGGCTGTTCACCACAGACAGTTTACATGGATTACTACCCACAGTTCTGTAACGCTGGGTGATAAGCCTCCTTATCTATTCGTCAATTATAGGTTACTAGCCGAGAGAATCAGTTGCAAGTGCTAATATTAGATTGGATATCAATTAAAGATATGATTAGACATGTTTTTCACTTAAAGATAAGATTATATCTGGTTTCTTAGGGGGAGTGAAGCTCTATAAAAGGGTTGCTAGCATATCAACATTCATCAAGCAATAAGAAATCCAATCTGTCTGACGTCTCCCTTTTCCTACATGCCCTTGTGGTAAGACTGGTCACAACACTTGTGCTCAGGGCCATCTAGGATTGGGTCCTCACAAATACAGTAATGAAAGAAATGCTTCCAGCAGCAGACTCAAAGTCTCAAATTAATTGCCATCTGATTGTTCTAAACTAATTTCCCAACACACTATTTTGTACAATAAAATGAAAAAAAAAAAACTTCACTTAATCAAATACTGTAGGCAGTTTTCTCATGCCAAGGTTTTAAATCCTCAAAGTAACATCAATCTCATCATGTGCAGAATTTTGACAAGATCAATCATGTGTCTACATGAAAGAGTTGAAAGCTTACATATGCCAAGAATATAGCTCTAACATTCCTTAACAGCTAGATACACAAACAATTAGCTAATTGAAATTGAAATGTGCTCCACCTTTTAATTTCTACAGACAAAGAATAATCCATGAAATTCAGATCTCCAATGCACTCGTGCACTACCACATGACAGTAGTCGGTCAGATCTCCAATGCAATCGTGCACTACCACATGACAGTAGTTGGTCTATCTATATGAAGGGAAGTTATCGCTCTGCTGCCGGGCATTCAAAAGGTATCAAATTTAACTCTGAGATGTGCATTCTCTAGTCAGAACCAGATAAAGCCAATAGGGTTGAATTTGTGAAACTCACACACCAAAAATGACCTTAAAGGATATTATTTTAAACATACCGAGGCTGGGAGACTGGAGTGTCAACATCATCAACGTCAAAATGGTAATCCACATCATCCAGATCATCTTGCCGTGGTGAATCACATGAGGAGAGTGCAGAGAATCTGCCAGATTCATCTTTATTGTCCTTGCCCTGCTTATCCACCAAAGAGTGTCAATTGAGGGAAATAGATCAACTTAATCATTCTCAAACTGGTAGAGTGCCCTTTCAATTGATAATTAAGATTCAATATAGACTTTTTTTTTTGAAAGGGTGATTCAATATAAACTGCAAAGAGTAAAATCACCACGTCATTAAACATTTCTTCCTAGTTCAACTTATATATTACAATATGCATTTTTACAAGTATCAAGGATCACTGGACCTGTACAAAATCAAAAGCAGTTTGTCACAGCTTGTACAAAAAAAAAAGAGCTAAATTGAGCATCTTATAGATTATTGGTTCAACACGAGACTAGGTGTCTTTGTATGTGCCAAGAAAACCTCCATCAAACATGGTAATGAGTGAAGTTTGGTACAAATAACTTAGCAAGAAACTTGGAGCCAAAGTTTTAGGTTCAAAGTTCAACCGGTTCGCAGTTTAATCGGTTCTGTAAATACATGAAACCATGATACTTGGGACTCTGAATAATTATTTTTATTATTTTGTAAGTATCTGCTCCACCTTGCTCTAAAAATAAACTGGTGCGATGAGCCTGTCAAATATGATACTGTCAAACTAAATTGATCGAATAAAGATTAGTTATTCCATTACTAACTCAGAGCCAATACATATATACAGATCATTCTAGTTGATCAGGTATCGACTGTCCAAGCTCTCCTGGTCAAAAAGATCCAATCTTGCACAATGAAGAATTGAAGTTCACACACAAGAATGACAGCTGAACATATAAGTAGAGTCATGAATCACCTTATGTCTGGGTGACGAGGTCGCATATGGATCAGCTATCCGAAGTTCCTCCATCCTCCCAATCAACCGGCCACTCTCAGATGGAGACTCCAGAGCACCTGCTGCCCCCATGTCTCCTCTTCTCGGCAAAGGCGGTGGTAGCAGATTCTGGCGGTGTGCGGGGCTCCTCCTCTCGTTCACCTGTGGTATGGGCATTGGCGCAGACTCCCACCTCATGAGACGGGGTGGAAAGTGGGGAGGCGATGGCGTCGGTGACGCGTAAAACACTGTAGGCGGCGAGAACCTGGCCTGGTGTGCCGGCGTGTGCGGCCAGAACGCAGGCGAAGCCCAGCTGTGTGGGCGCTGCTGCTGATAGGACGGTGGGAAGCCGGAGCCCGTGGCTTCTGTAAGAGAGGCCGGGAAGGCTCGCATGGGCTCAGCGGCTGGGCTGCCGACGTAGTCTGGGATTATCACGGAGGGCGAAAGGGAGGTGATCTCGAGATTGAAGGCGGCGAGGCTGGGGAGGTACTGGACGGAAACGACGAGGCGACCGAGCTGGGTTTCGACGGGAACAAAGCGTTGGGAACGCATGGCGGCCTCCTGGGGGCGCGAGAAGGGCTCGGCGAAGGTGTCAAAGCGGTGGCCCATCTCGTAGTTGTAGGAGGGATTGGCGCAGAGGAGGCGGAAGATGCGGTACGCCGGGAGGACGCGGAGGGCGGCGTAGACGGACCTGAGCAGCGTGAAGCAGTGCTTGTACGCCCGGTTCACGGCAACCTCCTCGCCGCCCGCGGCGTCCGGCCAGGGCTCGCACGCCACAGTCCACCTCTCCACCACCTCCCCTCGGGCTCCCACACCACCGGCGGGGCACAGGAGGACGTCCACCACCAGCGGCTCCCCGGGGGCCAGCTCGTCCAGGCGGTCGGCCGCCTCGGGCGGCGGCGGCGGGTCGTGGAGCGGGAGATGGAACCACCTGTCCCTCCGCCTGAACGACGACGACGACGACGACGACGCCGCGGCGGCGAGCGGGCGCGGCGTGCGCACGGCGAGGACGGCGTGGAGCACCTTGAGGTGGAACTGCTCCACCATCAGCTCCGCGCCCGCGCGCACGCCCCCAGCGGAGTCGGACATCCCGGACATTGCCGGCGACGCCGAACCCAAACCGCCCCAGCGCCTGCCGACCCCTCCTCCTCGTCGCTCAAGCTCTGGTCCAAGCTGCTGCCGCGCGGCATGGCTGGCGCTCGCGGCAGTAAGACTGCATAAATCCGATCCGCTGGCGATCGGAATCGGAGGCCTAGTTGGGTGCGTGGGATCGTAGCGATCGATAGATCTGTGCGCTGATGGGGAGGGAGAGGAGAGGTTGGAAGAGTTGGGGATTTGGGTGTGGAGATGCAGAGGGAGAGGGGGTGTTTATCTGCAGGGAGGATTAAGGATCGCTGGCTGTGCTCTGGGTTTGGGTTAATACGTCGCTGTTGGTGTCGTCATGATGGATATATTATGGCGGTGAAGACGAACCTAAAGTGATTTTATCCGCTGGTAAACGTGACATTCAAAATTCTAAGCTGTCAATCATCCAAATTAAACTCTTTTTGATAGCAAATGGTTAGTGTTGAGGGTTTTTTTTTCTGGCTTATTAGTATGATGGGGTCTTTCGATTCCTGTGGTATAGATGACCGTGTGAACTAATTTCTCCTTTCGTTAGTTTTAATTTTTTTTCTCTCCCTTTCATGGACCACATAGGGAATCCTAAAGAGAAACATAAGCCGTTTAATTCCTCAATCCAAAAAAAGTGCAATTATGTGATGCGTACGAGTCAAACTAGTTTAACTTTGACTAAATTTATAGTGGATAGTATTAACATTTATGTCTCCAACTAGGTTTATTATAAAAATGTATTTAATAATCAAGTTAGTGATACTTATTTTGAATTATAATTGTTAGTAATTTTTATATAACTCTAGTCAAACTTTAAATCGTTTGACTTCTCCTTTGTTGCAACAAATTGTTTGAGTTCTCGAATAGCAAGAATTGTATCTTTTGTGGATGGATGGAGTATATATAACAACATGGTTCTTCTTACATGTGAATAAATATTACTTTTGCTTCTATAAAATATTTGTTATATACTCCCTCCATTCTAAATTGCAAGCTGTTCTAACTTTTTTTTGATACATTGCTTTATATATATATATATATATATATATATATATATATATATATATATATATATATATATATATATATATATATATATATATATATATATATCAAGACACGATGTATCTAGGTGCATAACAGAATCAATGCACATAGAAAAACTAAAACTGTCTTATAGTTTGAAATGTAAGGAGTACAAAGTTTGATTTTTTTTTTGGCTTTGACCATTAATAACTTAAAATTGTATAGGTCAACCATATTAGCATAATCGTATATCATGAAAAAATAATTTTGTGATACACTCTTTCTACATAAATAACTGATTTATAATATAGTTTTAAAAAAAGGATATTTTATATAGATGGAAGAGAGGAGAGAGTGAGAGGAAGAAAGACGAGCAAAAACAAGTTTAATAGACAAACACAACAACACGAACATAGCTGTCATGAGCAAAGAGCCTGGGTGGTGTCCTATGTAACTATGGTTTAGGTGCGCGATCATCACCATGAAGGGTGTAAGGGTCGAATGGCCAACAGGAGTGAATTGGGCTTTAAAAATTAATTGCAATAATCTTAGCCTGTGCAAAAACTAAACTCCCTTAGCACCTTAATTCCTAAGTTCTTCTAAAAAACAAGGTAATGAGTTCTTAGAGCCAACAAACTAGTCATATACTTATTAGCAGAGGATTACACTAAGAGTAAGGTACTTAATTTTTCAAGAATGAAACCTATGTTAAGCACACCAACAATTTAATCCTAGTTGTTAATAAAAAAAACTTGCAATCAACAAGTGTAGAGCAAGTAAAGAGTAAGACAAAGACACAATCAGACTTTTTATGCGGTCTCGAGTTGTTTCCACAGACCACAACCCCTAATCCATGTTAGAGCACCCAAGAGTCACCAAGACTCGGTTAAGCTCCTCTCCACTAGTGAATACATGTTTGCCACTTCAACATGGTGGGTTTCAAGACAATATACACCTTCTGGAGCTTCCTCATAATAGCTTCCCCCACCAAGGCGTCTAGGTGATGGCAGTAACCAAGAGTAACAAGTTTTCAAGCTTCAACTCAAGAAAAACAAGGCAAGAACACGATATAACTCAAGGCTAACACTCATTTGTCACTTCTTAGCTTGGGTGGCTATCCAAATGTTTCATTATTCTCTCAACAAGTGTTAGTAGGAATGGTGAGCAAGAGTGTCTCTAAATTAGCTAGGGGTACCACTTATATACATGATAAAGAGGTTGTAGTCGTTGAAATAAACTACAAGACATAGATATCACCAAATGATTTGTTGGCCTCCACTGGTCACACCAAATCATACAGTGGCATTGTGCTGGTTAATTCCTATAATGGCTAGTTGAGAATGTACTCGAATGTTCCTCACCATATGATATATCAGTGAGTAACATAGTCTCATTGGATCATATGGTGTACCATAGAGACTTAACCAATTTATATCACTCACTCAAGCTTGGCCCAGCGGATGATTCGCCACGAGGTCACACAAACAACACTAGATCACATGGCACACTAGTAAACCTGCCAACAAGTCACTAAGTCAAGTTGTACCTCGTAGGATGATCCATTGTGAGTCACATAGTCTTACCGAATCATACGGCTCAATGGGTTGGTCAACGAGTCACTAATAAGTCAAGTTGTGCCTCAATTGATGATCCACCGAGGTTATACAGTCCCCACCAAATCATATAGTGACCACTTGGTCACCGGCAAAGTCACTTTTGACTGGGAAACAGTACCACTGGACGATTCGCCAAGGATCAACCCTATCATCCGGTGCATATTGCGGCGCTGATTTTTTGCGTTTTCAAGTTCGATCTCGATCATTCCAACTTCTTTGAGATTCTTGACTTGAAACTACTTTGATGGGGCCACTTACTATCATCATCTTGACTGAGAATTAACTTCATGTGCATCCACATTACCTTGGTTTGACTCCCTCAAGATGAATGCCTTGTACCCCCTCCCCTCATAGCATGACCAAAGGAAAAACAAAGCCCTAATACACACTACAACAAATGTCTCCGTGCACACATCCTACATTCTCACTATAGTGTCCTAAGTCTTCACAAATATCCTTTGCACCATACACCAAACATCAAACCAGGTATTCAGGGCCAAGTCATTTGTGGCCATTTAAATTATGACTAACTCAAATATGATTACCACTACAAGAACACGCATTAGTCACAACACTTGTGTCCATCAATCATTGAAACCTCAAAATCAATCTTCGTTCTCGCATTTGGCACCAACGAGATAACTTAAGACCAAGATGGAATAGTTGGGTACTCACATTCTCATAGGATATTGTAAGAGGTTGGGGTGGCTGGATCCACCTCTGACCGGAGATGAGATAAAAGCGAGCGGATCCGAGCCGGTGGCAACTCGAGCCGAGGTGAGGCAAAACATATCTAGGTGGCGGTGGGCGTGGAGCTTTATTTTATTCAACCCCATGTAGCAAGACAACAACCACAATAGAGGATAAAGCAATGAAGCCTTCGATGATGACAAACATAGCGGCAACGATTATAATGACAATAGTGACCAAGCCTATTGGAATATGGATTCCCTTGGTTCATCTTCAATTTAATATAACACAAAATTATGATTTAAATAAATAAAAGGGCAAGACTATGAGCAATAAAACCCTAGGAACTCAAAATTGAGTGTAACTCAACTGGTTAGGGTTCTGTGTGGTGGTACCTAACCACCAAATAAGTCCTCGACTAGATGTAGGTGCTTATATTTTCATGAATTTATTTTATAATTTAATGGTACTATTCTTTCAATGGTAGACGATCTACCCGTTGACAGTGGGATGCTTGTGGTGACCTCGTCAATCTTAATCTCAAGATTTTCAGTTTAGTGTCTTTGGAGATGCTCATAGGGGAGGTGAATGTGCGTGCGTGCATGTGAGTTGTTGGTATTTGTACTATGATTCACCAAAAAACACTAGGGAGAACTATAAACAAATCCAGATTGCACTAAATCTAGTATCAACGACACACTATATTTCTATAAATTTTATTCTTGTTTCAATTTTTCATTTAAATTAAACTAGTTATGGAGTTTTTAGAAAACAAACCCAATTTTATTATTATCGGAACACAAAACTACCTTTGAAACCAATTAGATGGCCAAGTTTATGATTTCCTGGTTTTAGCCTTGCATGACCAAAAGTAATCTCGACACTCAAGCAATAATTAGATGGGCAAAAAAAGATTTTTTTTCTAGTAAATATAGTTACCTAAGTGTTTCATCATAGGTAGCGCCGGTATTTTATCTAAACAAAGTAACGTCGGTATCGCCAAAAGATATCATATTTGGGTTGGGAGTTTAAGTAGCCTAAACATATTATGTTCTTTGACAACGAAAGAAGGTAAGATGGGTCGACTTGCGATTAGAAAAATGATGCTGTTTCGTCAGAAGCGTGGGTGCCGTGCATTCTTTTTAGTAGTGCTCTATCATCATCTTACGTTGTCTTGGTTTTGTGCTTTTCCGCGAGAACAAAGAGTTGCTGTAGATGAAACTGGGATGCTTTTATGCCTTTTGTGGGATGCTCCGTAGATTATGTCAGCGCCTAATTTTCTACTTTAGCAAACTTTCGTCTTTTCTTTGAAACGAAGGATTGATCATCCTATTACTTTTAATCTATCATTTTCCTTTTCGCAGGGAGTTTCTCTCTCCTGCATGTGAGCTTTTTTCTTTGACAAAACAAAGTTTGTTGTTGTTGATTGCTGCTCAAATGATATATATCCATATAAACTACTAGCAGGGAAGCAAATGTGCCTGACTCACTGGTAGAGAAGACGCTTATCCGTAACCACCAGTTAGCAGGTCGTTAAACACACGATCGACCACACTGAAACTCCCCGTCGGCGCCTGAAACCGTTGCCTTGTTCAAATGACGACTTCAAGTCCTCTCTGTTGACTGCCGTGTGTACCTGCAAGAAACAACAACGACCTAGTAGAGCGAAGAAAATGCAGCGCACTTGCGCACATAATACCAGACGAGTATCAGATGTTTTCCTTCGTTCCACCGCCCTTTATGACACTCAACTACCCAGGATCATTAGTGCTGATCCCCTTCTTTGTCATCCAGCATTATACTAATTGTTTACCGAGTACTCTGAACATCTGGGACAGCATTCCGGTGAAGTCATGTTCTATGCTTTTTACATCGTCCTTATTTGATCCCGGAAGATCACATTATTACAAGTGGTTCAGAACAGCTCACTGTTCACGTGGGTGTATCAATGATGAGCACACGGTGTGACGTGTTAGAATTCTTGACAATCGTATAGTCGTATACTCGTATCCACTCGCTGCTTCCCCGTTTCGTGACTCGGTCCTACTGCACAGGAAATAGGCCGTATTTTATATGTTACTAAAACCCAAAGTTGGAAGCTCTTAATAGCTCTGGCAAACAGATTGTAGAATGTGCTCTCCGTTATATCAGTAAGTTGAATCTAAATTTTCTCTAAGAGTTGATTTGATAAAAAAAAATTATTGATTTTCATCTTCGCTGGTATTTGTGAAAAAACTATAATGGGGTCTTTCTAAGGTATCTATTTGGAAATAAAGGCTATGTTCGCTTGAACTTATCAGCCGTACCGTTTCAGCAAAATAACAGTGTTTTCTCTCACAACAAATCAACATCAGCATCAGCATCAGCCGTTTTTCTAGCCAGCCGAACGGAGCAAAAGGGAGGATGGAGCACAACCCATCATTTGCCAGACCTAACCAGTGGAATCGTGGAAGGCAGTTAGAACAAAAAGAAGTCTATTATCCATTCTTAGACTATTGTCGTAGTCGGATTTTTTTTCTCAAATCAAACTCTAAAATAAGACATCTCCATGACATGGTTCGAAGTGGTTTTAAAAGCGGAATTTGTCTTTCTTAGTTAAAAAAATCTAGAAAATACTTGATAAGGTTTTTCAACCACAAAAAATGTTTTTGACCTTCTAAAATTTTTCAAAAAAAACATAGAGATAGATTGGGATATGAAGAATCCAAGTAAAATATTTAGAGCTCATAAAAAATATATCTAGAAGCTTCAAAAAATAGATTTAGCTCTTGAAAATGATAAAAATATACCAAAAAACTAGAAAACTTCCAAAATTTTCTAATGACTGTCTGAACATATTTAGAAACTTTGCACTATAAAAATATGAGATGTAACCAACATGATTGCAACATATATTAATGTTGAATGGATTTATGCTGGCTGTGTATTATGTCTTTTTGTTGTGGCAAGTTTTAAGAACATGTTCAAACATCAACTGAAATGTTTTGGAATTTTCTAGATTTTGAGATTTTTTATTTTCCTAGAGCTAAAAATATTTTTAGGAACTTCTAAAAAATATTTTAATGAGTTTAAAATATTTTATTTGAATTCATTATATTCCAATCTATAGCTAGGATTTTTTTCAAAATTTCTAGAAGCTTAGAGACATTTTTTGTGGTTTAATAGCCTTGTCAAGTATTTATCAAATTTTTAACTAAAAGATGAGAAAACCACCTTCAAAAACCACTTTGAAACTAGGACAGGGAGGTAACTTGAACGGTTTGAAAAGTTCAGGGCTTAAGATTTCTGATTTTGAAGTTAAAAGAAAAGAATTAGACTAGAGATAATGTTCAGCGAGCTAAAATGAACTTTTGCCGTTACAACTCTTCAGAAGGCCTATGCTTCAGCGGCCCGTTTGGGATGCCTTTGTTTGTGGCCCATTTAGTCGCGCACGACGGCCATCCAAGGCCGGCTTGCCTGCAACGGACTCGGAAAACTACGATTGCTTTGCTCTGTTCGTTTTCCGATTTCTGCGCCCGTTTTGAGGGACACGTTCAAAGCACTATCCGTCCCATAATCAGTCAGATCAAGGCATTGCAGCGGACTCGGATTTTGGACAAGTGGAGATAAATAGTACTCTCCCAGGTCGTCACCGGCTTCTGCAGACGACTCCGCCGCGATGTTACTATTCAAGAAGAAGCAGGAGCAGGGGCGTCGCCGAGGGCCAGCAGTGTCGCCCGAGCGGCTCGTCACGGTGCGCGTCGAGGTCCCGGGCCACGTCGGCCGCGAGTACGTGCTCCCGGCGTCGCTGCTCGGGCACCAGCGCCTGGCGCCGCTGATGGCAGAGGCGGAGGCGGAGTACGGCGTGCAGCAAGGCGACGTGATCCGCGTCCCGTGCAGGCCCTGCCACTTCGTGGACGCCATGGTGTGGGCTGCGGTCGAGGAGGCCATGCAGGCGGGGACGGCCCACGGGGCCGCGGTCGATCCCGGCGTCGACTCCGCCAAAGACTGCGGGAACCGCCATGACCTTGGCTGGTATCTAGCTCCGCCACATTGATCGTCATCGTCGCGGCATTGGTTATTCGTCAGCAAGGAACAGTGCCACCATTGTTTTTTTTATTATCTTAGCCCGAGTCGATTTCTCGTTGACGGTTTGCAAATTGTAACTGTAAACAAGTGTAGATCTTGAAAATGCTACCAAATTTCATTGCGGACTAATCACAAAATGTTCAGGAATTTCTATTTCCAAGAAGGCAACACCAATCTATTACACAAAAACAAAAACAAAAAAAAGAGGGAGCAACCTTTTTTTTTTTTGTCAGATGCGTTTTTCGAGTGCAGTCAGTCTAGAGAAGAACGGCCATATCGCCAACTATAGTGCGATCTCCGGGTGAACTGCTGCGGCGCGAAGCTCAGACCAAACATCTCCCTCAGCGCCTTCCCAGGCTCCAGGAGCCCGATCAGTCTGGCCACGAGGGACGCGCTCTCCCTCACATGCTCCAGGTTCTTGGTCTCCGTCCAAAGGCGCCGAGCGACCTGCAGCCGCCTCCTCTTGGAGGACAGCGAGACTTCCCACTTGGTGTACAAGCTCTCCCGTTCCTGGATCGTCAGCAGCTTCTGCATTTGCCTGCAGAGCATCTCCCTCTCACGTTGCAGCTTCTTTGCACTGCACAGCAGATCATTGAGTTTGAGTGATGCGACACAGCAAAGTTGTGAAAGATATGGAGATGAGTTACCTTGAAACCAGAGAAGTGCTCACGGTGCCTGCTACCACGTTACGCCCCATGCTTCCGTTGGAGTATGTATTTTTGAGAAATGATAGCCTCCTAAGCTCCACTTCCATGTAAATGGCGTCGGCTGGGTCTCCTTTGAACAACAGGAAAAAGTAAGTCCTGTGGACCAAGGAAACGTTGCATCCATGCCACAGGTCAATGATCTCTTGCTGTTTCTTCTCAAATTCCAATGGCCAGTGCGAAGGTGATTGCAGGGCATCCATAATGGGATCCAGCCCCACGCTCCTTATGGTCCCTTCAGCCAATTCTCCATTATCACCCTGAAAATGGTAACATAAAAAAGGCAATTGTTCTAATGAGCTAATAAAAACTGTAGGACATAGCTGTGTGCTAAATTTTATCTCACTAGGATAATAATAAGATGAGCCATGCCAGCAGGAAAACCAGAACATTTCCAGTTTCGCACCTGATCACCATGTTGCTTCTGATACTGTACCTGAGCCATTTCTTTTAGCTCCGCGACAAATTCACCTATGCCAGCAACAAATTCTGTATCACCAGCAACAGAGCTGTTTTCCTTCAGTCCATCCCTCGCGGTGATAATTTCAGATAGCATTGATCCTGCTCTGGATAAAGTTTCACTCTCTGCATCATAGTTCAGTGCAGGTACCCTTCTTTGAAATGTTTCGGGTCTCCCTGGGTAGTCCATGAAACTTCTGCTTGGAGGGGTGCAAGCTTCTTTCTCCAAGTCTTCCAACAAAGTAGAACCCATCAGAGACCTACAGCTCCTGCTCCTGCCAATTACTCTTGAGCTTGATGAGTTGTAGAGGATCCCAGATCCATGCCAAGATTGGCAAACGGTTTTTTGACATTGTCCAAATGTTGTTCCAGGGTAATAGGAGATGCATCATGCTGTCTAGAATTCACAGATCGATTTAGATTATTATCCCCTTGCATGCTGGAAGCTACATTTGAATCTTGCAGACTATTGCTTCCCAAAGCTGACGACTCTAAACATTCATTTTCTTCTGTTTCATTGGTCTCTATGCACCGTACTTCTTTGCAAAGATCCTCTGAATCTTCATTAGATATTTGAGAGTTATCATCTCTGCCATTAGTTGGGGGCATCCCACTGAATGGGGGACTACTGACTGAATAGCTAAGAGGGGTAGCAAACTGCACATCATTTTCAGATTGCTGGGACCTATAATCTCTTTGTATTGTCTGGCGTCCTTGAAGCCTAAAATTTTGGCCACTGCTGACAACTTCTGATGTCGTCGACAGCTCATCCTCACATGGCTGAGGAACATCAAAAGTAAAGTTTCTTCCAGAAGAAGCCTACATTTGTACAGAGAGAAATGTCTTTTGTTATGAAGGAACAGTCAAGCTGATCAACTAGAAAGCAGTGAAGTGCGTCTACCAGGGGGTGCTTCGAACTGTGGTTATCTCCTACAACCTTGAGCAAATCTTGCAGTCTAGATTGAATGAGATCACGTTGTAACTTCAGTTCCTTAATTTCCTTCTCCATCTGCAAAGAACAAGTGAAATTTTACAAAACGTCATGGAAGTAGTCATATTTTTGCAGTGAAGACAACTGGCATGATAAATGACGAATGCAACATGCATAGTTAGTTCATTATGGTTACTATGTTTCTTCATGTACAAAGATGGTGAGATGAATACACATGAAAAAGTCATAAGTAGCAGTTACCTTCCGGATTTGATTATCTTTTTCTTTCACTAATGCTTCAAGACCGGAATATGAAGTTGGGCATCTCAATTCACTCTCCAACCTTGCAAGTTCTTTTTGTAATTGCTTAACTAGTGCTTTATCAGACATAACCACATTAACCTGGGCATTTGTCACCACTTCCTTTGCACAACTTGCAAACAACAAGGTATTTCTTGACTGTTCCATATGGCTTCGGGCTGGGCTCATTGTACAAATAATAGCTGTCCTTGCATTGCCTCCTAGAGAAGGCTGTAATATGCGTGTGAGCTTTGAATCTCGGTATGGTATGTGTCCATTTCTTACCTTGCTGCAGAAATGAAAATAGGTAAACAATTAAATGCTCTGATGCTCCAAAAAAATAAAGAGTATTTTTATCGTATGAGGAGCTGTACTTTTTATCGTAGCGCCCTGTTCTCTTGACTTATAAGCCGTACTTTTTCAGCCAACAAACAGTATTTTTCTCTCACAACAAATCAGCCAACAGTACTTTCAGCCATGGCTTATCAGCCAAGCGAACAGGGCATGGAACTGGAACACTGAGTTATGGTTGTACCTTAGTTTCCGAATCACAGTTCCGAGGGTAAGTAGACTTCTATTAATATGACAGCCTTCCTTCAGCCTAGCCCCAGCTGATAATGCCTGAGATGCACGTTCACTTCCAGCCAAATCAACAAAGTTCTGCATAGTACAGTCAAATGTGCTTACACTTGCTTACCCATTTTATGCCATGAAAGAAATACGAGTAAATAATTATTTCTCACCACACTAGCAACAAGTGTTGTTGACTTGTCCTTACCCAAGAACTCACGAGCAGAACTTTCGATAGTCTGAAAGAATCATTTATCAAATCATAAGTGATGGAATTAGGCAGCGGCTATTTTACATGAATCTACCAAGCCCTTTTCTTTTCTACATGCAACCGAGCAGTAGGCAAACCAGTTTAAGTATTTGGTGTGATCTGGAGCTGTTTTCATTTAAGTATGTCTCTCCGGTCCTCCTTTGAGCTGGTACAAGAACACAAAGTACACTGAGATGATAATAATCACCAATTAGGTATTAAAGAAAGGAGTTCCTTAAACAAACTACTAAAGTACACACCTTCACACACAGAAATAAGTTCTTTCAGGTGGTCCGAATCCCTCAAGATCACCTCTGTAAGGTTTTCTACATATGTTCCCTTCTGTAGAAATAAACAGCATCAAAACCATAATCAGTGCATGGGGACAGTAGGATACCTTTTCTTCTCTCTTTCTTTTCTCTAAAAAATTAAAAATATAGCTATTTGTTGCTCTGACCTCTGCATCATCCCAAAGTCTAAGTGATGTGCTTTCTGCACTAAGAAGATCCCTTACAACTTCGTTATATATTTCAATTGCTGAAAATTTCAATACAAATGCTCTCTCCTCATGCTGCAAGAAAGAAATGGCCACGTGTATCAGCTGGCAAGTAGAAATGGTGCCATTTTGAAGACTTGTTATGAATTTAATCTTAGGAATGATTATTTGGTTACCTTGGCAATGTAATCATAGATATCTGCTGCTGTATGTTCCGTTATTCCAGTCATGGTGTATGTTTTTCCACTACTTGTTTGACCATATGCAAAAACACTTGCTGTTACGAACAAATAAAGGAGGAAAGAAAACACATTTCAGTGACTTCATGGAGTACTTTGATTCAAAAAAACTGGAGTAAGATAGCAAGCAGATGTTGACTTACAGTTAATGCCACTAACTACAGAGAGGGCAACTGCTTTGGCCCCTTCCTCATATACTTCTTTGGTATTACAGTCAGAACGAAATACCCTATCTGCAAAAAAACAGAGTTGTGTCAAATAAGCTGCACACAACATAGCTGGAAAGTAAGGGACTTTGCAGTGCATACTTGTGAAAAGAGCAAAGTAAAGCATCACTGACTATCTATACTCTAGCCAGATAAATATCTGCCAACTACAATTGAAATCGTACGGCTAAATTTCAGGGGAGTTTCTTTATAATAAAATAGTCTCTTAGGGGACCATCTTGCTACACTGAAAGAGTCACTTCAGGTTGTTGATACCATTACTCCAAAATCAACTTAGCCGAGGTGTTTTCACTGCTAGTAACAAACGACTGATGATCTGGGAAATGTAGGTAAGACAAATATTCCGAATTCTGAGCAATATCAAAAGGATAGACTTGAAAGTTGAACGTTTCCCTCTCAAAATACAACTGAACATGAGTATTCAAATTGAATGTAGCGGTTGGACAGCCAATTTCTGAACAGAACCTGCAGAGATAATGAAATGCTGCATCCAGAAGACCAACTGAACAAAAGAAGCCTGATTTGCAAAGGACTAACCAAACGAATACGCAGTCGGAGCAGTGGGGCGGTCCGGGAAGGTGCTCCGGGAGATGATGGTAGTGTCGTTGATGCACTCCCACTCCGCCGGGTCCCCCCTTGCAATCTCCTTGTCGCTGAGCGGCCTCAGCCTCACCGAGACCAGTATCTTCTCCAGCCTTCCCGCAGCACCTCCACCGCCGCCATTGGCCACCTCGGCCCCATCCACCTTGTCCCACTTCACCGGCGCGTCGCCTCCAATCGCCCCCATCTCTCGCTCCTTGTCCTCTTCTGTCTCCTCTCTCCCTCCCCCTCCTCTCCGCAGTTCTCTTCCCCCGCTTACACCATCTGCCAAGATCACACAGTATTATAAGCAACAGAAAAAAGCGCACCAACATCGAAAACAAACAAAATCAACGAACGGGACTGGGAGAGGGATCGAAGCGCCCCGCCCGGCCTACTCGAGTGATCTGGATGCGGTTGCCACGCTGTCGAGCAAGTGAGTGGTTGCTCTAATTGGTGGCGGAGGAGGCAGGCGGGCGGGCGGGCGTTCGTTCGTCGCGGGTCCCGGCCCCGGCGCTGCTACAGCGCTGGTTAGGATGGTGGTTAGAGTGTCGTCTACTCCTACATCGGGATCACACTGATTAGGCCGGGGAAGACGAGGAGGAGCCCGAATCTACCAGCGTAGCCACTCATGCAATGTTGACCTTCCTGCTTCCCGAGGACGACGCCGCGAGAAAGCGAGCGACGGGAGCAGGATCACATGAGAGGACAGTCTCGCTACTGCTCGTAATTTTACCCGCGCCTCACCACCAGCCATCACTGTGCCACCAAGCTTTAAATCGCAATCCCCACGGCAAACCTGTAATGCTGAAGCGACAGCGACACGGAAGCTGCGAAACAAGCAGAGCAGGAGTGGAATTTACTAGCAGAATTGAGAAGAGGTTTGAGGCGGAGAGACCGAGAGGGAGTGGTCTAGCAAAGCACCTGGACCTGGCGGTTGGATGAGCGAGGTCGACCTCCACCTCCACCACCACCTCCCCCACGATCTGCACTGCAGGCCGTGTCCTCTTGGGAGGATCGCACAGGACGGTGGCGGCCCTTTTCGCCCCTCCCTGCCGTCCTTTTCCTCGCCTGCTTTTCAATTTTACCCCGCACCGCACGGAGAGGGGAAGAGGGGACCGTTAAAAAATTTGATTCCCCTGTTTTTTCTACCGTCTTCGCCGCACGTTTTGCGTGCAGGCCCTCGGCACTTGGCCGTATTGCTTGCGACTCGCGTCGTGTCTCCCAGGCCCTGCTTGGCGTAATGGCATAGCTAAATTATTTTTATTTCCGCGTTTATATAGACTGTTACAAAAATAGTAGGATCGAGAACTTGTGCGCAAGATATATGTGTTGTCCTTTGAAAACTACCACAATAGAGATCTTTGGCAATCATCATCAACGGTGGTTTAGCAATAGGACTAAGTTAAGGGCTATAGATTGTTTCTAATTCATTAAGAACTATGCATTTGCTTTTACAGCACACTAATATAATAAGGAATAGCTAAAGCATCTCTTGGTATAAAGGTTGAATCTTCCTAATTCATTATTTAAAAATGGTTTTCTGCTGCTTAACCGAACAAAGACAAGTGTAAGTTAAGCCCTCTTAGAGTAACTTAAGCAAGGACCCTATTCAAGCCACCAGGTGGCGGGTATGCCACTCGAATAGGTTTGTACTTAGATCCTCAAAGTAGGAGACCCTCAAATCTCCTCCCCCTCCACACTAAAACACTCATTCTTAGGGGAACTGAAGTGAGCCCCTATTCTACCGTTGGGCCCGTTGCTCCCTCGGTATCCCTTTGGATCAACACGAGCTGAGGCCTTCGCTCGCGCCCTCTCCTCCTTCATCGCCTACCGGCCCCTCCCCCGGTCATCTGGCATGCTTCCCTGGCTTGTCCCTGGTCGTCGCGCCTCCTCGTCTGCCCCTCTCCCGCTCGCCCACCACGGGTGCGCCCTCCCCGACGTCCCTTCCCTAGCTCGCTCCCGCCGATAGCTCCCTACTTCCCCACAGGTCAGATCGAGCCTCCTTTGTCCCAGGCACCTACATACTTTCCACTTCTACCACAAGGATCAATTGAGATAATAAGAACGACTTGATTTTTCCTGCTTTTGCTATAGTTAAATGATCCTCCTCCGATAATTCATTCAATCCAAGAATTGCGATAATGTCCTGAAGTTCTTTGTAATGTTGTAAAGTTCCCTTCACTCCTTGTATTGTTTCATAATGTTTGTTGCCAATGATCCGAGGTTGTAACATAGTTGAGTTTGAATCTAAAGGATTTACTGCGGAATAAATACCCTTAGAAGCTAATCCTTTGGAAAGTATGGCAACAACGTCCAAATGTGCACATATCGTGGCAGGAGCAGGATCAGTCAAATCGTCTGCAGGTACATAAAATTGCTTGGATCAAAGTTATAGATCTCTTTTTTTTGTAGAAGTAATTCTTTCTTGCAAAGGACTCATTTCTGTACTAAGGGGTAGGTTGATAACCTAGGCCCCCTCTAGACGCGATCTCTCCCCTCCCGTTTGGCTTCTCTCCCGGGTTCGGCGCCCTCCTCCCTACACGCGCTCACCATCCCGTTGTGCACCTTGTCGGCACGCACCCCTCTTCAGTGTTAAAGGAGATGGAGAAAAATATTATTTTTAATGACTAGTGGGTCTCACGAATTTGAGGCTAGAATATGGGGACTATGACAGCGTTGATGTAAAAATTTGAAGACTCAAAAAGTAGATGAGTCATCGAATCCTAATGTTGTGTTTGGTTATGGGGCGGGACAACGACGAAGTGGGATATCCCAGTGTTTAGTTCAGAGACAGGTGGGACAGAATCACCCCTAGGAGAGAATATTCCCTCAAAATGTTGTCTCCACGCGTTCCTCTAAATCTGAGGTACGAGCTCATCCCCTTCCGATGTCATTCTGCTCTGTCGTATGCTTCTTCCTCGATCCCGATGTGTGCTTAGCCTCAGGCCCCCGACCCTCGACGCAGGCACGGGCTCGGCCTTGTCCTCAGCCTTGCCGCGAGCTCTCAAACACATGGCACCAGCGCGAGCTCAGCCATGGCCCACGACCCCGACGCGGGCGCAGCCTAGCGAGCTCGGCCACGGCCACGACCACGTTGCGGGTGTGGCCTCGGGCCTGGCGTGGGTGCGGGCACGGCCATGGTGCAGGCGCAACCTCAGTCCCGGTTGCTAGTTGCAGATTGGGCATAAAACGGTGAAAAGGACGGTTGCTAGTTGCAGATGGCCATAAACGGTGAAAAGGACGGAAGAAGAAGGTGAGGGAGGATAACATGCGAGTTCCACGTAACGGATGTGTAACAAAGCAGGGACATGGTATTATCCTTTTTATTTTCAAACATAAAACAGGGATATCCCCATCCCCTCAATCAAACACATAGCAGAGATCATCCCATAAAAAAACTAAAATGGATCCATCCCATCTCTCATTCCATAACCAAACACACTCCAAATAAAAATCCTGGTTTAGGGGGCTCATTGTCGCCTGTCGGAGTTACCCCCCGTGGAGTCATGGGCCGATACAGAACTGCACCTCTCTGAGAGCTCTCCGATCCGATCCAATGCCGATTCAGAACAGAAAACGTTGAATGTCGTCTGTACAATATTTTAGACAATAAGGGACAATGACATCCAGCTTGCATTTGCATGCCTACGCAGGAAGGCGCGTGTTGATAGCTGCTTCAGAATGAGGTGACGTCCTTTAAATTCTGACTAGGGGTGTGTTTAGTTGCCCAAACTTTGGACAACCAAAAAGCCCACAGCACTGCAGCGGTATTGTAGCATTTCGTTTGTATTTGATAATAATTGTCCAACCGTTGACTAATTATGCTCAAAACGTTCGTCTCCCAAAGTACAACCAAACTGTGTAATTAGTTATTTTTTTATCTACATTTAATACTCCATGCATGTGTTTAAAGATTTGATGTGATGTGATATGATGGAGAATTTTGCACTGTGTAAAATTTGGAGGTGCAAAGTTGGTGGAACTAAACAAGGGCTACAAGTTCATATAAGACAAATTAAACAACTTGACATGTGATCTTGCCATTTTATGATTTGTTTATAAATATAGGACCTACGCAAACACATGTAGCAGAACTGAAAACAAATTAGTCCAATCCGCAGTCTAGCCATAATTCCATAATCAGAATATACCTGCATGTAAGGTTGTAAGAGAACCGGATGCTATATTTTATAGACCAGTGCTGATTATGCTTTTATTGGTTCCAAACCGCAGGTTATTTAGCCACTTCTTCTGTATCTATGCTTTATTTTCTGTTATTATTCAGACAACATGTAATTTTATCATTGTTTGGCTATAAAAAAAATCTCTTGTGAGTTTGTCTTTTTAGTTGTACTATTTGTCTGTATAAGATTGTTGCCTGAGATTTCTAAAGACTCAGGAACCTAAAATATAAAAACTCCCTATTTTAGCATTATCGAAGTTAGATTTTGACTAAGTTTATAGATAAATATTCAAATACCTACAATTTTATTATCAAAACATATTTTACCAAAAAAAAGTTAGTGAAACTAATATGGTATCGTAGATGTTTATGTCCTTTTCTAATTAATCACATTATTTTTTAATTTAGTATAAATCTAAAAGCGAACTATGAAGTGAGTTAGAAAAGAGATAGTACTATGTAGCTGAGCAAGTAGCTTACCGAGACTCAGCTCAACGTTGAAAATATGACATTGTCATGGCAAAGGCATACTGTAATGAACAAAAGCAGGTAGATTGTTGAGTAAAAGGGGGATTGATACCAGTCCTACGTGAAGGTCAAAGTCTTTCAGGATCAGTGAACTACGAGTAGTTCATTTGATTGGATTATACGTGGAACCTGTGTGCTTGAATTGATCTTAGACTGTGTTAAAGGAGGTGACTTTTAGCGGTAGGCGATGTATCCATCAATAACGAGACATGATGATTTTCTTAATCTTGAAATATGAAATCTTAGTCTCAGTCTTTCGATGGTGCTCATAAAGATAAGGTGTATGTGTGTTCACCATAATTCAAAAATAAATCTCTTAGAATCACGATTCCATAATTTCCTCATCGACTCTTGCAAGCCTAGCTTAGATCTCAAGCGTGGTTGCAACAAACCAAAACCAAAAGGTGATCGTGGTTGATTCAACAATCAAATTTTAGTGTGTCAAATCATCAATTGGCTATGATTCTAACATGAAACCATGGGTCTCCATACGGAGAAACATGAGCACTGCTTTATCTATCCGAGAGACCATTTGATAGAGCTTCTCGGTGCGGTTTCTCTCTAAGAATCACTCCTCATAGAAATAACAAAGCTACATGTAGATTCGGTGAAGAGCAGACAAGAATCACTGCTCTATTTATAATAGAAGCTAGAAAATAAAAAAAATATGTTTATCACAACTTCCTATTCAATCCTCACTAACATCACTTCAGAATCAATTCTTATTAGCTGCTCCCCACCCTACCCCCGACCCCCACCCCCACCAAAATCAATTAAAACCACTCTACAAAATAATCAAGGAGTTAAAGCTAAGAATCAGAGTTAAGCTCTGTCAAACAGCCCTAAGCATACATATACAAAAAAAATTAAGGTGAATCTATCTAGCCAACAACTGGTTATTTTATCCATCCCAACAACCAGATTTTTCCATGCACTTACACTGTCTTATCTTGTAGCTATATTTACACCGCATTATTACTATATTTACAATGATTTCATCAGTGTAATTTTTTCAACATAGTGATGTAATTTGGGAATAACATAAATATATGCCAAATTTTTAAAAAAAATTACAAAAAAAAATTATGGATTCTAGACATCAGAGAGAATATGTCAAATTATTTATAAATTCTTCAGAAATTTCAGAACAAATAGAATATTCAGAAAAGAGACGAATGGAGGAGGCCGAAGGAAAAAGCCGAAGAATCCCGTCCCATCCAGCGGTCCAGGGCATCATCATCGCCAATAACGCCACGGCCCACGACCCACCGGTCAAGATCCGCACTGGTTGCGGAGGTAGCAGCAGCCGCATCCGACGGCCACAAAAACCGATTGTTGGAGAAGGCCAAAACAATCGGACGTTGTTTAGCAAATCTGAAAATTAATCCGATGAGATATGTGCAAGTGAAATTTCCTCAACATAGAGTTGTAGCCTGCCTAACTGAAAACTGAACAGTACGGTATTTGAGATATTTGGGAGCATGACACATATATCTTGCGTATCCATGCATACGTAGAAATTGCTGTGCTGTAGGCTTACGTTATGTAGCTGTTTTTTCCAGAATGAGTCGACGTGCTCAGAACTCCTTGTTGGTTTCTCGAAAAAAACTCCTCGTTGCAAAAACGTGTATCAGATCTGAGACGAAATTAGTCCAGTCCGCATCCCAATCCGAAACCCGATCAGCCCCGTTCAGCTTGCTGAATTTTGGCTGAAAACACGGTTCTGGCTGAATTGTTGTGGGAGAAAAATATTATTCCAGGTTGAAAAAAGAAATCAAACAAGTCGGATATGAGATAAGCCGAATGGGGCCTACGTAGCAGTGTCTTCTTCTGATAAAAACATATATTGCTTCCCAGCAAATAAGAGCTGTTGTGGAAGCAGCAAGGCATTGACAAATTCAGATTTGTGGATCACGGATCAGGCAAACGAATGACAAAGCGATAAGCCAGCAATTTAGTTATTAAAAAAAGTCAGCAATATGCACGTCGGTGAACGAGTAAGGGGATTGGTATGAATCCTACGTCGTCTACGTGGACGTCAAAGTCATCCCTGAATACACGAGCTTTCTGTCTCTTGGCCTGAAGCCCAGAACGAGAGGTGTCTTGATTCACCGATCAAGCCTCTGATTTCCGACCAACAGCTGCGTTACCTGTGCGTAGCGTAGGCGACTCTCCCGTAAAACCTCTATGGATTTCCATGAGAAGGATGCGCACAGCTCTGATGAGCATGAGCCTGCTCCCCTCCCTCTCGTCCGCCTGAACAACGTCTCGTTCCAGTGCGAGTCCGTGGAAGCATCGGTCGGCTTCTACCAGCGTGTGCTTGGCTTCGAGCTCGTCAAACGCCCGGCGTCCCTCGACTTCAGAGGAGCACGGTGAGCAGCCATTTCGCACAACACAATATACCACTGCCTTGCCTGCTACTGCCTGTTACTCCATCGAAATTTGTTATGTTTATAACTCGTTGCTTTTAAGGGCCCGTTTGACACGGCTTTGGTTCGTGAAAAATCAGCTTTGGCTCGGCTCATATGGAAAAGCAGTTTTTTCTGGCTCTGGCTTATTTGTATGAAAACGTTTAGCAAAACGGGTTCTCCTAGTTGTAAAGAAGATGTCAAATGTCTAAAATACTATTATATTTTTTTCTCTTTTTTTCTTTTTTTCTTCATTTTTTTTCTTTTCTTTTTTTTTTCTTTTTTTTCTTTTCTTTCCTTCTCCCCTTCTTTTCTTCTCCTTGTCCGAACGGACACACTCCTCTCCTCCTTATCCTGTCACCCACTCCCTCCCTCCCCCCCCTCTCTCTCTCTCTCTCTCTCTCTCTCTCTGGGCGTAGCTCCTCGAGCCTGCCATGTGCACATGACCGCTTCCTCCGGGTCTTGTTCCTCTCCGCGGGCCTCCGCCCCTTCTCAAATCCACCCTCCCTTCGTCGGTGGCACCAGCACCGTGGTCCACCTCTGGCGCCCCCATCCCCGTCTGGCGGCCCGTGCTCCTCGTCCATGGCCCGGCTGGCGTGGCGGTGGGCCCGTGCCAGTAGCCTCCTCACGGCCGGCCTCGACCCCATCATCCGGACCTCCTCTTCTTGGGCCTCCTCGTCCACGGGCCCCCGATCGGTCCGACACCTCCAGGCGGGAGGGGCGGTGAAAGGGGGGAGCCGAGCTCGAGGCTCGCGGGCGGGAGGAGATCGGCGGGAAGGCGAGCTCGAGGCGGTCTTGGCCGCCGTCAGGCCATGTGGCGTCGGGGAGAAACAAGCCGGGACAGGATGGAAAGTGACGAGCTCGAGCCAGAATAAGCCAGTATTTTTGGCTTCTCGCGTGGGGAGGAACTGAGTCACCGGGTTTTGCGGGGCTTTTGCCGGCTTCTTGTCGCAAGCCGTTTTGCCTATGGCCGTTTAGCAGGGCTTCGCCCGAAGCCGCTCGAGAAGCCGCGGCAAAAGCCCTGCCAAAGGGGGGCTAAGGCTGCACAAGTACGGCATGGGGATACATCTACTGCAGCGCGGCTCGGATTCCAGCGCTCCGGCGGCGGCTGCAAGACCGCTGGCGATCAACCCCAAGGGCAACCACATTTCTTTTCAGGTGACCGCCAGTGCTCTCGCGCTCGTGCAGAACTGACGTGCTAATTAGGCCTTGATTTGTTGCTCTCCTAAAGTTTACTCCCTATATCGTCGAACGTTTGGATACATGGAGTATTAAATATAGACTTAAAAAATAATTAATTGCACAATTTACGACTAATTTGCGAGACGAATCTTTTAAGCCCTAATTAGTCCACGATTTGACAAGGTGGTGCTAGAGTAACACATATGTTAATGATGGCTTAATTAGGCTTAATAAATTCGTCTCACGACTGCTGTAATTTATTTTTTTATTAGTATCCGAACACTCTATACAACACCTCTATATAACCGTCGATATGACACCTCAAAACTTTATATTCTGAATTTAAATAAGGCCTTAGTTTTAGTTAGTAGTAGAAAGTACCCGCTGATCGGTTGTGCTCGTTTACGAATGGCATGCAGTGCACGGACATGGGGCTCATGGAGGCGAGGCTGGGCGACATGGGGCTGGAGTTCGTCGCGGCGCGGGTGCGGGACGGCGAGACGGTGGTGGAGCAGCTCTTGTTCCACGACCCGGACGGCAATGTGATCGTGGTCTGCGACTGCGAGAAGCTCCCCGTGATACCCCTCGACGATGCGGGCGGCGCCGGGCTTCCCAGTCTGCTGCTGCCGGTGGAAACGAACGTGCATGGCTAGTTCGTGGTGCTTGCTCATTGGTTGCTTAGCACGATTATTTGATTCGTTTGATTAGTTTCGTGAGTTGTAAATAATACTGTAATAACAGGCAGTTCTGCACGCTAATACTGTGGCTTGCACTGTACATCTGTTTGTCAAATGCCAAGTGTCCGTAGTGTATATATACAACTATACAAGTTTGGGAGATTTCCTGTTTACGGGTCTTCCAAGCTGAATCTACGGCCGACCTTTTGAACAGTCGGTTCCCTACCGGGAAAGTAACGGTTCGGTTCGGCTTATACGATCGTGGATTATAAGCTGCAACAGTATTTTTTTCTTACACCAAATTATCCAGTATACTTCTGACTTATAATCCACTATCGTTTCGCAGGCTGTAAAAAGCCCGTGTAGCAAGCACCTCCTTTCCCTTTGCCTTCCATGTGACGCGATGGTCAGAGCCAGCAGAGAGAGAGAGAAGCACATTTCCAGCTGTTGCGTATGTACTGCTTTTGCAGTGACGATGAAAGTGGCTTTACTACTAAAGTATGCGCCACATGCAAAGCTACAGCTAGCATCATCACTGAAAATGTCACGCAATGCAAAAAAAAATCACCTTTGAATGAAAGGATTAAAGAGGAATGTCACGCGACGCTATTCAGTAGGAGTGTATATCTGTTGTGTGACTGGCGACAAACCGCGTACCCGAAATCGCAAAGCAACCGCACCAGCGTTCACAGCCCAATGAGAAGCCTGCTTGGCCCAGTCGTGCGCTGTGCAAAGTGCAAACCGAAACCGAAGTCAGTGGCAGAAACAGCCCTTATCCAAAAAAAAAAAAAGTAGGTGACACAAGCCACGCTCTGCGCGGTAGGACGCTTGTGGCTGCAATGCACGGCAGCAGCAGCAGGCGCGGACCGAGCAAAAAACCAGCACCAGCCAAAGCAGAGTAGCAGGAGGCGCGAAGAAGCAGAGAGAGGCCACAGCCACAGCATGGCGACCACGGCGTTTCTATCCCCGGCCAAGCTGGCGCTGCAAGGGCGCCGGTTCGCGAGCGCCAAGACGGCGGGAGCGGGACGCGTCAGCGTCAGGGTCAGGGTCCCTCCGGCGCGGGCCCAGCAAGAGCAGCAGGTGAAGGAGGAGGAGGCCGAGGTGGCGACCTTGCCGCCGACGCAGGGCGCCGAGGAGCAGGCGCAGGCGAGGAAGGGGGACGCGCAGTCGCTGCCGCGGCAGCCGCTGGCGGAGAGCAAGAACATGAGCCGCGAGTACGGCGGGCAGTGGCTGAGCTGCACGACGCGGCACGTCCGCATCTACGCCGCGTACATCGACCCGGAGACCAACGCGTTCGACCAGACGCAGATGGACAAGCTGACGCTCATGCTCGACCCGCAGGACGAGTTCGCCTGGACAGACGAGGCCTGCCAGATGGTCTTCAACGAGTTCCAGGACCTCGTCGATCACTACGAGGTAACCTCTGTAGTTACTCCCCCCACTCCAACAGCTCCGATAGATAATTTAATGTCCGAAATTCATACGGTCATTTTTTTTATTTCCTCTACTTTAATGCAAGGCAGGACTCCTGCTATTTTTTTAAAAAAGAAAAGAAAAAATCATACAGTCATGGCAAAAGAAGTGCTCAGTATGAGGATAGCTAGCTGTGCACTACTGGATGTCTTCATGGCTCATTGCTGGACTCGTTTCTTCTTTGAAACAGGGGGCTGAGCTGTCGGAGTACACACTTCGGTTGATTGGGTCAGACCTTGAGCACTACATCCGCAAAATGCTGTACGACGGGGTGCTCAAGTACAACATGAGGTCCAGAGTCCTCAATTTCAGCATGGGCAAGCCTCGGATGAAGTTCAACAGCAACCAGATCCCAGAAGCAAAATAGAATGTACTTATCCAAAACCCTTAAGAGAATGGTTTCTCCATTCAATTGCTGAATAAGATGTATACTTTGCAGTTCCAGATACGAACCGCATTCCAGAATTCAGATTATACAGATGCAAAGTCATACCGATTCTAGCATTTTGTCACCCCTACGGGAGTCTGGGCAAGATAAGGGTTCGCTCCAGTTTAGACACCCCTTCTGTTTTTAGAGCACTCAAATTGGGTTACACAATACCATAGTTTCTGCTAATAGATATCACCGAAGACCCCATGAGTATCACTGGTCAAAGTTGCACAGAGGTGACCACGCTAACTTACCAAACGACTTTCTGAACTGGATGGAGTAATAGCTAGTATGGGTAACCCTCTCCCATCATTCCACGACAACTCGGTACTTTTTAAATTCATCGCTCCATGGCCTGAATTGGTCTTCTTGCCCAACGTTCTACAAAAGCATACAGATAGAGAGTAAATAATAAAAATTTGGGAACACCGCACCATGCTATGCTGTTGCTGAGTAGCATGTACTGGTTCAAATAAGAGAGTACACATTAATATTGCAAATAAACTGATTAATCATGAATTATGGTGGATATATTTCCCAGCCCGATCTGTACTATGCTGAGCTACATAGGCAAACTGACTGTCTCCACTGAAAAAATAAAGCTTTTGTTTTAATTCTACCAAGAGTACGCTTCTGCTACAGTCGTTACTTGTTTTAACAAGAGTTGGAGCTATGAGTTTCAGATGTGTGCTAACAGACACTTAGTTTGCCCACAATATTAACAACAAAGAAATGGTATTGTGGTTACCTGCAACCAGAAGAAAAGCCCACGCAAAAGAGCCAAGCCATTTTGATTGTTATTGCATTGGAGACTGAATTGCTCAGCGAGATCTGAAATTCAACAAACAAAGAGGTGTCAGTTAGTACTGTAATCACATGCGTGCGTCTCAGGCCACTTGGAGACAACATAGCATATCAGGTAAGTTAAAACAAACCGACTGAGAAGCCAACACAGCTCATCATCGATATAACTGGTACTGCACGAGAAACCATTTGAAACGTCATACATTAAAAAAAATTAAGAGCTCCATGAAAAGAGATTGACAGGATCCGCAAGTCCTTCATTTGGAAGGGGACAGATAAGTCTAATGATGCCCACTGCCTCGTCAACTAGGGAAGAGTGAAACATCCAAAAAGCTTGGGGGGGCTAGGCATCTCGAACTTATAGATGGAAGAGCGCTAAGGCTGCTAGCTTTGGCCTGAGTGGGTTAATGATTCGAAGCCATGGGTGGACATGGACACCCCTTGTGATGCCACAGACCGTCTGCTGTCCAGTGCGTGCACCACTGTGACAATGGGTAATGGCCACAAGGCCAAATTTTGACACAGTAGCTGGTTGCAAGGAGACGCCCCAAGAATGCTGGCACCTAACTTCTACAGTTTAGTTAAGTGCAAGAACAAATCAGTTAGCCAGGAGCTGAGGAATAATGCGTTGATTAGAAGCCAACTGAAAAGAATCACGGATGCTACTCAACTTGAGGAAATTATTCCCCTCTGGCTATGACTCAGGATGTTCATCTGCAACCGTCACTTGGAGATGGATGGCTAACAGGGAATACACCGCTAAGTCAGCATATCAAATCTAATTCGCCGGTTCATTTGAGCCAACACAATCTGCTTTGCCTTTAAAAAAAACGACCTATTTTGGAAATCAAAAGTGGAAAATAAATGCAACCTTTTTTTAAGGTCTAGGGGTGTTATACTGTGGCCCTAATCAGACCGCATGTTTGCTTATAGAAGGTTACATGGAGATTGATTGAGTCTAGCTAAGTAAGCTGTGCCGTTGCCTCTTCAAAGAGCAAACACCATTTATCCACTACTGGTCTTCTCCCTCTGGGCAATAGCCGCCATTGTTCTGCCTCACTCCGGCTGGATCCTAGCAGCTAATGACAGCATTGCACCTCTTCCAGAGTTGTCAGCAGAATAGTGCAACGAACGTCCCAAATTCTTCCCGCGGCAGATTGTTGGGGCGATCTAGCTTGTGCAGCTCACTCATATCCTGCCCAGGCACCATGGGCACCCCTATTGCTGCCCAGTACTGCCTAGAAATGTGGCAACCGTTTATGATATGCTCTGGGCCTCCGGGGTATCATCCGCTTCATTGCACACTTCACGGAGCGCATTTGGCACGATTCTAGTTCAACTTCATTGCCTGGGATTCTAATTCAAAACAAAGTTTTGACAGGGATTACCACACCAAGAATCTTGTGCACTCTGTCATGGGCAACAGAAAATCTGACTACATCTGTCCCTACCATACGCCCATTCACTAATGACATCTGGAGGAGGCAGGAGGGTACTGGATTGGGAAACTTTCTCTCTAGCTACCTCCAAACATCCAGGCAGCCAATGTCGCCTCCATTGCCAAGTGGTGAGAGATCGCAGCAAAGGCGCGTAGAAACGTTTTCAACTGGTTAATTAATCAGTTATGCCATGTGGAATTTGAGGAAAGAAAAGAAGCGAGTATTCGAAAACGAGAGTTCTACGGCGCTGGTGGTGGAGCTGCGGGTAAAAGAGGATATCACACAACGACATCATGCTTTCGGCAACCAGTAGCAGGAGGACCTTTGCCTTAGGCTGGCTGTGCTCTCTGCGCTATCTCTTCATATAGCCTGCAAGGGCAGAATTTTCTGTTGTTTGCTTCTGCAAGGCAGAGCTCCTGCAATCTTCGATAAAAAAAAAGTTCTCCAAGTTCCAAACATATCTTGCACTCAGATGAATACACTTTTTTTTGAAAGGACAACAAAAGCTTTGTCGCAATTTTATTAGAAGAGATTGGTCCAGTTTTTAAGGGAAAAACCGGACCCATAACCCTTACAAGTGCGAGATTAAAACTACTCAACAAACGACTTAACAAATTTGCTTCACCAATGACAACTTTTTTTTTTGAAAAGTCACCGATGACAATTAAACACATGCTATCAACCAACTAGACAACTCACTCAAAAGATCACAGTATAAACAAAAGATCACAGTCTAAACAAGACGAGCCAAACACAACAGCTGCAAAGGGAGAAAACAGAAAGGCTGACAACTAGGAGAACTTAAACGCAACAACAAGATCACTAAGTCACACACAAAAAAAAAACAAGATCACTGGAAACTACAAGGTTAGACGCAACTACAAGATCACTGGAAACTACAAGGCCCACCAGTCAACTACTAAAACAGAAAACGACAGACAACTGAAAAAACCTTGAGAAAACAATAACACCACTGGTAAAAAACCACCACAGGTTGGTCCAAACAAGCAGCTATGGAGAAACACTACTACCTCTGATCACAAACACCATCTGACAAATCTCCTGACTTAGAACTTAGAACAACTAAATCCAGAACCAAAAAGAAGGCTGACACACCACCAGGAGAAAGATACAGGTCAAAAGGCAAGTTAAACAAGCCTAATATGAGTATTAGAACTCCAAAATTCTACAAGAATGAAATGAACCAATGCAATTGTTAAAGTAACATTTTTTCCTCCCTAATACAGCCAATGCTAACTTTACAAATTATGGACCTCAGGTATGGTATGGAAAGAATGTCCACAACTACAATCAGAGATTCAAGCAAACCATCTATTTGGGGCATATGTAATTCAAAAACAGCCCAGCGATTGGATTTAAGGCTCAAAATGAAAACAATAATTAGAAACTGTGGCACATAGAAGGTTTCATGAAGTGCATCAACAGCAGTATTAACACAGTACACATCATAAAAATACCTTTACCAAGAAAATTTGCAATAAACAGTATAAAGATATTTACAAAAGGAAAACAACAATGAGACTGAAAAACAGCCAAAGCCCAAACAACAAGAGTTGATTGTGAAAAAATAATGTGTGCATGATACAAAAGCATACCTGGGTACCTATCAAAGTATGACTTGTTCATCTCATGTGTCCAGGCGTAGTATGCCACCTTATTACGGGTTCTTCGTTCTTTGAGCAGTGGACTGCGATCAGTAGCCAGGGCAAAATACTTATCATACTCTTCCTGTGTAAATGGTTTGTCGAGAAACTCAATCAACTTTTCTTTAAAAACTGAATTTGGCCTCTCATTGATATGTGGGGGCCATATAACGCCTTGTAATTCCTGTGAGTAAACATTTGCAGAAACAAGAATACAGCGTAAGACATAGCTTTTGCCTCATATTGAATAATTTAAACAAACCAAGATACAAATGACAGTACTGATCGCACTACGAGACATCCTCAAATAATTCCCACATGGATAAAAAATAATATTAGAACATTTACAAATAATAAAAAAAGGTACAATTATAGTGTTTGCAATTTATTCTTTTACAAAGAGTTTGCACAATAAGTATAATGTGTTAAGAATAACATGACCTGATGTTTAAAATGGTAATCTACATGAACTGTTAACATACATGATATACACTAGATTTCAATCATGGAGATAGAAAGAGCCAGCAAGCAATTATACCCTGAGAGACGTGATACACTAGATTGCATTCTATAAACTTGGTCAAAGTTAGAGAAATTGTACTTAGGACAAAACTAAAACGACTTACAATTGGGAATGTAATAAATCACTTTCAAGCCTTAAAATAACAGTATTATGCATGAATGCTACAGTACCACAATTATCTAAAAGGCTAAACCTATTGTGACAAATTACATACTGTAAACATGCCATAGGAGCAATCAAGGTATGGGGAAAGACAATAAGAGGCACATCATTAGTTCGAGCATGATAACAAATCAGGTCATGTGCAAGTATAAACCAGACAAATTTCTTGCAAGTTGAACTGCTATTTGTATTAAGAGGGGCTCCAGGAGTTAGTAAATCCAAGGGACTTGAATCCATATACCCCTATCTGAACAAGCAAAAATAACACATATGCTAGGGAGCAGGGTCGTTCTTCCATTTCACAAAACATGTGCAGTGTTAAAAAAATATAGCATGTAGGAGTGCAGAATTAAATAACAGTAATAATAATGACATGTATTGTAATTTCTCACCGAAGCATTGAGAGGCATGGACAGATGTTCCTTGCTTGAGCTTGCTTCCTTCTTGCCCAAAGGATCCAAATCTGTTGTTCCCCTGACTAGAGCATTCAACGGCTTCTCTCCTCCTTCTTCCACCTTCTTCGTCTATTAGGCAGGGCACCACATAGACATGACAGAAAATAATGGTATGGACTATGGAATCAGTGGTGACGGGCACAAGAAAACCTATGCCCCCTGCTTGAAACATGATAACATTTCACAACAAATGGGAATGGCATGGTGTTACCTCATAATACACCGGTTTGTTAACAATCTGAATATCTGATCCAGGCCCCACATCAACATCATCCTCTTTGCTCGCCTCTTCCTCCTTCACCTTTTTAAGCAAGAAGACGCGTTACAAAAATCACAAGGAAAATAAAGGGTTGGTATCAGGTGTTTAGAACAACATTTCGTAAGAGATGGAAATAGCACGATTTTACTAAAGTAACTCAAAGACCTTCAGAATCGGCGAATCCGAGTCAACCCCATCCTCTGTGACTGACGCAGGGATGGCCTCCTCCTCATCATCCTTTTCCTCCGTACCAATACCGTCCTCCCCCGACTGCCCAGACGCAGGATTGTCCACTTCATCATCCTCTTCCTCTTCCCCCTCCTCCTCCTCCTCCTCCTCCTCATCGGTGTCGTCGTCCTCCCCGATAGTTATTGAACAGTTCCCCGTCTTGAACACCAATTTGCCTTCCACCTCGCGAGCATGCCGGAGGAATAAGAGGTAGTCTTCGTCCATGTCGGGTTGCGTGTCCCACGCGCATTCCGCCACCGGCGTCGGCGTGTCCTCTTCCATGGGGACAGCACCGCTGCGGACCTCGCCGCCGGGGCTCGCCTCTGGAGCCTTGCGCTTCACGCCGCGCGGGGCCTCACTCGTGGCCCAAGGGCTCTCCTCCGACGAGGGAGGGACCCTTTGCCCCCCGCATTCAGAGCCCGCGACGGGGGTCCCGGCATTGTGATCAGGGACGGGTTGCTCGTACCTGATGATCTGGGGAGGGGAGGAGGCGCCGTCCTTGGACGGGATCACGACCGTGTAGGCGTCGCCGTCGAGGCGGACGTGGCGGAGGAAGTAGAGGTAGTCTTTGTCGGCATCGGCGGCCTCTTGCGCGGACAGGCCGGCGGCGACGGAGGGGATGTGAGGTTCGGCCGGCGGCGGCATGATCGGGGGTTTTCCGCCGTGGCCTGGTTTGGAGAGTGGGGTGGAGTCCGCCAGGAGCCCAGGAGACGCGGTGTGACTGTATCCGCGCCACCGCCTCTTATATCGTGGGACCGACCTGGAGCGATTATTCGGCACAGTGATAGTCCCCACTCTGCAGTGGCAGTGGGTAGTCTGGGCCAGGTTCCAGGAGGTGTTATCGTAACCAGTATAATGCCCGTGCTAACGTAACGGTTTTATCTAAAGAATGATCATAAAAACACCCAATTTATTATTTTATAGTTTAATCTTTACCCAATTATTATATTATAGCCTAAGTTATATTTGGCGTAAGTCCTTTATCATTTGTTGCACATCTTCAGGGATGTTGAAACATTCGTTTGCGGGACTCGTCAAAATGTCAGTCAAAAATTTCTTCCTCAGTGTAGGTGATAGCTGCGCATGGTATAGAATATAATATGTTAGTATTGTATGTAGTGTACGGAATATAGTTGGAGACTATATATGCTTACAGTGGTGATCCGTGGTAATCTTACGCTGTCCCACGGCTTCATGAAATTATAGACAAGAAAGCCTCTCAATTTCTTGACGGAGAAGATCAGTTGTTTATTTGATGTACATAAATCAAATTACTGTTTTTTAAAGAAAAGTTGAACCAAATTTGACGACACTTACCAGTATTTATGACCCGAAACATTTGTTACATATTTAGGGTATTTTCGCTCCCAATAATAAATATTTTCGCTCCACCTAGAATTTGATAGTGCCATAGCAAGATTGAACATTCTAGCATTAGTGTGGAATGTAGGTATATATGCCATTTCTTGATAATAACCCTTTAAACATGCATTATCTGGTAGCGGTTCAGCGGATCTATAATGTGCACAGTTTTATTTTGCATGTCTAGTATGAATAAAATGTATAGTCCATTCTGATAATATAGTAGTAGAATCTAAAAACAAACACACAGATTGTAAGTGGTTCATAAATAAAATAAATAAATTCTTATAAAGTAGTACACTGACCATAACGTATCTGGCTACAATCTTGAATTTTGTAGTGAATGTCTGGCCAACACTCAAGTACCTTTTTTTAATTTGTTGTAGTATACCTTATCAATGCCACCAGTACATCGTGGATCTCTTCCAAACCCAGTTATTTTCCTGATGATGATTGTAATTGTCAGTATATAATTTTTTAATCACATATATTACAAGTTTTTGATGAATTATAGAATTTCAGAACTTACAGCAAATTTAAGATCCATGAAGTGGTATTTTTGTTTATGCAGCATCATTTCTTTGTTGCACGCAACCATCCGAATAGCCATATTAAAGCTTTCATGTTCCATCTCTGTGTCTTCACGTAAAATATTTATAATTTTTCTAAGACTTAAAGTAATTGGATATGGTCGTGTACTTCGTACCCACTCTTTACCGCAAAAAAAAAAGAACAAGAAACTAATTACTTAATGTACAAACAATTATGTTCTGAACTATTCAGAAAGAAGAAAGACTTACTCTAAAGTTCCATCATCCGCGGTGCACCGAATGGTTGAGCAAATCCATGACAATAGTTCTTCCTTGCTTGTCCACTTTATTGTACTTATCAACTTGGCGCTACCCGACATTAAAATATCCATTTCATCTAGCTCTACAACATCATCAACCAGATGAACTGGGGTCTGATTCTGTTGCTCATTATCTGGTAATCCTCTTGCTTCATTTAACGGGGAGTTGTACAGGATGGCAGGTAGCTTAAACCTGAAGTTACTTATATCTTCGTGAAAACATAATGAAGTCATGATATATTAATCAATACATACAAAAAAACTTATTACAGCTAGAAATTAATTCGTAAGGAATTACCTGCGTGACATGGTCAAATAAATTAGTTCTAGTCCAATACTCCATATAATTGATCATCCATAATCCACAACTACATCTGTGCATAATACAAAAAAAAGTGAGGTATATAGATATTGTTCGTTATGAGAGAATGGCCTATACACAAGATGGAAAGTTAACTTACACATCTTTTTGCATTTGTTCAGTGATCATATGTCTAGGTTTCCAGGATGACACTTCGATATCGTGTACCCATTTACTTGTGTCGAGTTGAATCTTCTCTGCTACATGTTTTATTAGTCATTCCATTCCTATTAACTATTAAGAGCGAGACACCAAGGTTAATTATGAACTTCTTATTTAAAGAATTTTAAAGAAGTATGCGTACATCATATATATTATGTTGTACCGTATATCGGAGATCTTGCCAGTTTGTCATCTTTTCTCCAAAAGAATCCAATACTTGTATCTCACCTTTTGAAGCATACACAACTGCCAGGTACTAGTGGCACTTTGTAATATTGATAAGAAGGAAGATCTGCGGACATAGAGATTTATGTATATTATTTCTTCATATTTCGAAGGGACAAAATTTATCATATGGCAAATGTCATAGTAAAGCTTACCATATCAGCTTTTAAATAAGTGTTCACCCTTGATTCAGACACGTCATATTTATTATACGTCAATTTTTTAGGATCTTGCTCTCCGTTACCTCGCAGCATTTGAGAAAACCATGAATTTTCTAAATATACATTTCCACCTTCTCTATGATGGCCTTGTTCTTCGTGCCGCATTAACTGGATATACAGACTTATGACCTGCAAGTTTTTAATTTGTCATTAAATTATGGACATATATTTGTCATGGATATTAGTTAATGCAAAAGATGTGTTGACCATCCTTACAGAGCCATTGACATGCTCACTCCCATCAAAAAGACAATCCATGTCTTGTCGTTCTCCCCAACAATCATCGATTCTGACGAGTACATGTTTTTCACTTTTTCTTTGCATGTATTCAATTACCCCCTTGTCTTCTTTCGTAGACACATAATTTATAGAGGTTTTATTTATATAATATATATCAGTAATAAAAAATTAATTCACAAAATATGTACTATTAAGTCCCAATTGTTGAGGTCTCACCTTGAGGCATGATTTGTGCATTGTTTGTTTTCTTTGGTTTATTGTACTCCGGTAACACTATCACATCAGCATCAGCACGCATCAGATGTAAGTCCTTTTCTTGCCGTGGAGTCTGTACATCATCATATTTGATCTGTTCCTTTGTTGCATCTACCATAATGATCTGCATATGCAATATGTAATATTAGTTTAAGATGCAATCTCTAGACATTTTGTATGCAATGACCCACACGCAGCGGCGGAGCTTGCATGAATGTGTAGGGGGGGCCAATTCAAAGGTACACTGCTACAGTATTTACCAATAGTAGTATAGACAATTGGAATTCTGTGGAAAATCTTTGTTTTTTCAAGTTCTATCTATATAGACTGTAATGAATAATTGGAATTCTGTCAAAGAAGAATGAACAATATACGGATTTACATACTTGTAAGCTGTGATCCACTGATCAGCAACAGCAAGCATGGTACGAGAGATGCAGAAATTAATTACATGCATGCAGCGACATGCAAACCACTGTAGTGCAGCCGGAGCAAGGGGGGCCAGGACCCAGTTTGGCCCCCACATAGCTCCGTCCGTGCCCACACGGGCAATTTATGAAAGGAATATTTGAGAAGTATAAGATATAGTTATGTACGTCATCTTCCTCATGAGCACGTTTTCGCTTCTTGGCTACGTCTCTTTCTTCATGCCCTTTTATTTCGGCATCATCATTGTGTTGAACATCTACATCAATATTGCCCCGCACTGGTATGTGTACGTCTGCAAATATTTGTGAGATAAGTACCATAGCTTACATGTAAATGCCTTTCTTTAAAAAAATTGCATGAGGTGGTTGTGCTAACTTGACTCACCCGAAGTGTGCAGTGGATCAGTAAGCACCGTACGTGGGCCTCTACGCTCTGGAACATACTTATCATTTCTACGAAGCCAGTCCATAGGTTCTATGGGCTCATCAGTTTCCAGTTTAGACGATAATCCATCTTCTAAATTAGCTTTTTGACATATAAAAATGTTTCGAGGTTCATGAGATATTAGGCGATGGGTGAAAAGTTTTAAGTCTTGGTTCTTTCTCACCTGCGGCCGAGGATGCCGGAACTATTATTTTGTTATTGTCTTCATTCCGTATTTCTTGGCCAGAGGCTTCCATTTGTGCCTCACTCTCTATATTCATCTTACTTTCTTCTGTATCCAGATGAACAAATCATTATTAAATATAAAATTTTAACAAGTAGAGTGCAGTTACGTACCGGGATTTGGATCAGATCCTTCTGGTTCATGGGAATCCGGTTCTTTTGACATCATCGCCTGACTGTTGCCACTTGCGATTTGCTATAGGAAAGGTCGCATAGATACACAAATAGATTAGATTAAATCAGGGCACCGTTTTGCACAGGCGGAAGGCGAGAGAAGGGCGACCATACCTTTCATGGAGGACGTCCGTCGGGCTGACAACTCTTTGACCGCGGCGAGTGGCAAGGACTTGAAGTTCTCGGTGCGATGTACGACCTAGCGATGACTCGAGGTGGGGGTGGTCGTGGCTAGGGTGGGCGAGGGCTCAGCGTCCCCAGTGGCGGCGACTAGGGCCGACGAGGACTATGGGCGGGGCTCCCTTGATTCAAAGTCGCGCGTTGATCGCGAGTGTCGGTGGTCGTGCTGATCGTTGCACACATCTTATATATCTACGTCAGGCCTGGAACAAATGACAATGGCCCAATAGAGAAGAGCCCATCAGGCATTGAGCCTCCTCATTGCAACATCCCCCGTCCTTCGCTCTGGCGCTGCTCCACGCTGCGTGACGCAGAGCCGCCAGATGAAGTGCCGCGCGATGCTAGCGAGCAGCGATCCCATCTGCTCCTCGCTGGCAACGTGAAGGCTGGAGCCACTCGCCTCCTTGGTCAAAGCATGCAGGCATGCAGCGGCCAACAGACACTGGGTGCCATCTTGAAGCGTTTTGAGACAGGGTAGGAAATGCCACGACGCACACCCAAAAAGAGAAAACAGAGGACC